AGAAATATTCTATGTTAAATAAAATCCATTGCAGCCGTTTAAATTGACCATTTGAATCATTACTGTTATTGTGGTTTCATTTTACGTTTAAATAAACATGTATTATAGAATGTAACATTTTTACATTATCTTTATTTGTAAATCATAATTGGTTTTTAAAAATCCTTTGAATAAATATGTGAGATGTATTGAAATGTACTCTTTATTTCTATTTTTTTTTTCTTTTTACCGCAGGGTTTGTTACCTGCATTAGCCTACGTAAGATATGCTACCCTGATCTTCCTTCTTCCTGGATCAATATCTTACAGGTTGTTTTGTCATTATTCTTTCATTTCGCCAATTATGGAATGCTTAGGTCTTAAGATGAAGCATATTTTTTGGCCTTTCTTATCTATATCTTTGTTAAATTATTTTTTTTTCTTTTTAAAAACAAAGAGTTTAAGGTAAACTAAGGTAAACAATCTTTTTAAGTTTGCTTTACCTAAAGAGGCTACTACAGTAGACAAAAACATGAAACATCAATATGGAACTACCATCAATATTTGATTATTGTATTTTGTTTATAGTTAAAAAGTGATAAGCAAAACCTTGTATTAGTTAACAATAATCATGTCATATTAAATCCTCTTGGCCACTCTCTTTATTGATAAAATGAATGTATTGTTTTAAACTCAAGTGATTTTAGTCTTATACTTCAAGACAGGTTCTTTTTACATACCGTATATCATTTTATACATTTTAACATCCTTATTTTAAGTTGTTATTATTTAACTCCCCCAATGAATTTGATATTCCAAATAAAAAAGAACAACAGCAATAAAATTTATGTCTTACGATGCTATCAAGCGAATGTTCAATTATCTAAATTGGAATTGTCTTCATTAAGGATTTTAGCGGGCTTTTTTTATTTATTTAAAAGTTTAATTTAAAAAAAGTGTAAAAACAATTTCAAATTTATCGTACTGGTGCTTCAAAATCCTTTTTGTAAACAATAACAACAACACCAAAGACTTATTTAAAAAACTATTTTGTTATAACACTAAGGTGACGAACACTAACACTATTAACGAAATGATAAAAAAACAAGGACAATTATTATATAATTTACGTATATTTTCTTCAATTCCTATACATTATTGGTACTTGTAATGTCATAAAAAGACAGATAGCTTCCTATTCTATTGTTCTGTACAGAGTCACGGCTAACACAACATGTCATATATAAAATTCATATTCACACACATTAAAGCACAAGAAGTTTCATTTGTACTCTATTATATAAAGCCTTTTTTTCTATATCTAAGTTACAAAACTTACAAGCATTGTATTATTACATTTTGAGGTTTTATATGTTTAAATAAAAACAAAAACATCTATGGACCATGCAGAACCATGTGTACATATACGACAAGGGGGTGAAAATTTTAAAATTTCATATCTTAAATAGCATCAAACCTCTACGTACATATTTGCATTGCTTATTTTCCATTATTTAGAAGGAGGACATTTAAACTACAATTTTATCTTCAGCATTCTTTTACCAATGATTTGTCCGTCAACATTTGTTACCATACTTTCACAAAATAGTCAAAATAGGCTTTTTTTGTTATAAACTTGTTTACGTTTTTTGTTTTCTTCACGTAGCATGTCAATGCGTGATGTCCTCACATACGAGAGAATCCTCATATATGGCTCATAACCTCGATTGTTGGCGTTTGCTAGCCTCTGAGAAAAACATACATTCTCTCACCCACAACAACGCTGGATTAGGTGTGTCTAAGTGTAAAATATTATAAGCGATGTACTGCAAACATGTTTGCGTTTTGAATTATATAACTGATTACGTATTCCACCAGTGTCGTTCATGTTAAGGATTTCTATATCTCGGTTCTTCTAACTTATAGTGTATGTGATATACAAAAATCCGCATCATACGGAACTGTTAACTAGAAATAATCTCTACGTTTAATCGATTAGCACTAGAGAACTAATAATCGATAGTTGACAGAAACGATACTATATTAGATATCGACCAAAGATAACATGAGGATATAGCTCTCAACGATGTAATGCAACGCCGTGCTGGTGATTGAACCCAATTGATAACCCAATGTTTAATTGCTATAACTAAATCAGGAATATTCACATATTCATCTCATTAAATGTAGCTTCCAGCCTATTAATAATACAGTGTTATAATACAAACTTAAATTACGGAAGATTGTTGTGTATTATAATGAGTAACTAAATTGAATATGTGATAGTGTGAATGTAATTCGTTATAACTTACAACCAGGTGGATTAGTAGTCTATTACCCGCTTTGAACTCCCTATACCTTAACATCGTGTGCATTCAAACGCACGGATGTGCAAAATAATATACTTAGTAACGCCGAATCTGTGCAACATTGAGGCCAACATAGAAGCATTATAAGTAAATCGACCAAATTTTTTCATCCCAAATCAAGTTAAAAAATAAATATTGCTTAAACGGCTGCAAGGGCAATATATCTTTTACCAGCATTACAATTTTTTCTTAGGATTATTTTTGGCTTTTCCTGGCTTTTGAATAAGTTGTTCCGGTTAGGTGGTTTCCTGCTTACATTTGTTAGTGCATGATGGAACGGAAAACCAGTCTAGGTTACCGCTGCAATCGTGACAATTCGGACGATTTCGTCATACTGCTAAATCAGACGAAGTAATATTACGGAAATCTAAGCTATTTTTGAGTTACTTCGGTAATCCCAGTTTGTTTCTATAAATAGGATTTCTCTTTTTACTTGATTTATCCATTTAAAGCGTTTACTAAGCAGAAGGAAGAAATAGATTATAAACGAAAATATTCCGTTTTAATTCGTTTTCAAGACACAAAAGTTAGTTTCTTTTATGATTGATATTTGTCTTCTTTAGTTTTAAACAATATAGCATAGCTACTATAGTAGTATTCCGTCTCCAAATGACGGTCATACTTACAAAAGATCGTGACCGAATCACACAGAGAATTAGTGTGAACAAGTTAAAATTGCATTGCTCTGTCACATTTTTCTGCAATCGAGTTATATTTAGATCTACTGTGTCTTATTTTTAAACGCAACTTTAACGTGGAGTTAAAACGACAGTATAACATCTTGGTGATTGATAATATATAATAACCTGTATGTGATCAATAAACAAGTGACATTGATATTTTATGTGTATCATAGTTGATACATACATATTAATTCGTACCACTTAACGAAGTCTTTTAGTGCATTTACTTGTCTATAAAGCTGCTATTTAAATGATATTAGCAACTGCCAAAACGAATGACTCTTTCTGCGAAAAAAAGTGAAAAATGAAATGTGCACACTTGTTTCCCTTCAGAATGATAGATAGATCATAGATACTTTTATTTCCTCGTCGTGGGAGAGCCAATGTTAGTATTTTTACGATTGATTATTTTCTTTATTAGTTTTATACAATACAGAATATATTTAAAATCGATTTTGCATAAAAAAATATTCGTTTTTACAAAAAAAAAGTTGTTACTGTTTTCGTTCAATTATAATCAGTGGACTTCTGGTCACTCTTTTGTCCAAATTTGCATGCATAACACTGGTGATACGAATGGGCACAGGTGCTCGCCCAGTGTTGGGGTTACCCTACCAACCCCTTTAAAAGTGAAACATTTTTTTTTCGAAAACAAAATCAAATAAACCCTTTATAATATACAAATAATGAAATAAATAAATTGACACTCTATACCTGTAAAAACATAGGTACCTAGTTTATCTGGTATTTAAGTTCAATCTATTATTATCTTTTAAGAATTATTTCTTTGTCATAAAGAGTTGATTTAGGAGCGTTTTTAAAATCATTTTTAAAGGAATGGGATGATGGCGCAACTGGGCAAGCCTTTCCTTTTAAAAGGAAACTTTATTACTTTTTTTAGATCACTTTTAAGAAGGATGACATGACTACCGTTCTGACGGCGACTTAAGTGTTTCGACAAAATTTAAAAGAACTGATTTAAAAGAACAGATTTAAAACTTTACTTTCTATATATTCAGTTTACCTTAGATATTTGCAAAACTAATATTGTCGTGTATCATTCACGGATTCGGCTTTACCTCGTTAAAATGGCCTCAATCATATTTTATCTACATATATAAGTGTTATATGACTCGAATAGTTTTTAAAATGCCTCAGAAACTCCGAATATCAAATATCATAATGTAATATATACGTTAATGTATTTTAATATAGATGAACATTCTCTCCAATGATCTTGGAAAAATAAACAATTTCGATTTTATGGAAATATGTTTAATAACCGTTACGGTACAATATTTTGCAGCCGTATGCGCTGATTCAATTCTATTAACTTTATAATTTTATGTATAATGAAAACATATTGGTTCCTTTGTGCTTTACAATGCTGTGAAACCATCAACAAAGGTTTCATACATTAGTCAAAGGCGCTCCGCACTTCACGTATATGAGTTGCATGTTAAGTAAGCAACAAAATGTGAGATATCCGTACTTTAATATCTAGGCAAAGATTCATGTTTCCGAATCTTGAAGTAGCACCTTGAACAATTACTATTTTATCAATATGACATTTTCCGCGATACTGTTTCCAAATTACACTTTATGTTTGGGGAACATTTTGACAAGCATTGTAGTTTCTTTGCATATAATTATACACATTATAGATAAAGAATACCAAATACAATATAACTAAAGAACAACACCGGTTAAATATATCAATAATGCAAGACGTAGATATCGTATATCTAGATGTTTTAACAAAAATGTAGGCCGTGCCTTATTTGAGAATAATAGTAATTTTATACTATTCAAAAAAACATGAAAGATATCTGTTTTAGGATAACAAATTATATGAAACAAGCTATCAGAAGAATATCACATCGCAAAATGTCGTGCTTCATCTAAATGTTAATGATAATAATTGCTCAAAATTTGGTAAATAATCGTCTTGATTTTATTTATAATTCCTTGTTGAGGACTGATGACGAAACATGCCAAGAGAAATTTGAATACGTTTTTAAAGTAATGTACCGATTATCTGACGTTGAAAAGAAACTGGAACGACTTCTTCCATCAAAGGAATCTTTTAATCGGCAAGGTAAAATTATTTTTTGCATTTGAAATAAAATGTGAAATGTAAATTTATGACATTGAATTTAATCAGCCATTAATTGTACTCGACACTCGATATACGTAATTCATTTTGTAGCATCAATAGTTTAAAGACTAAAAATATAAACAAAAGAGAACTTCTTACAATTCAGGTGACATGTTTACGAGATGGGAAAGGTCTTCTTGTCCTAATGGAACAACATTGATCTACGAAGGTTTTGCTGGGGGTTCACACTTTGAAAGTGTTGGCGGAGCAGCTAACTATTTGTGCCTACATAAACAGCCAACATGGAACGACAAAACTGTGACAAAATCACAAACAAATCTTATTTACGGGGCCGAATATGAAACTGTGGCTCCCTGGCGTAGCATTTTCGATCATGATGTTCCATGTGCCGTATGTCAAGTTCCTAGCAGCAGCATTTACATGGTTCCTGGAAGAAATATTTGTGATGAAAATTCTACGTTGCAATACAGCGGGTATTTAATGTCAGGTGGTGCTCACCACAAATCACCAACAGAATTTGTCTGCGTTGATGATGAGCCAAAAGCATTTCCTGGTACAGGTGCAAACCATAATGGCAGATTGTTTTATTTTGTTTATGCGAAGTGTGGAGCGCTAAAATGTCCACCGTATGAGGAGGGTAAGAAAGTCACATGTGCCGTTTGCTCCGTTTGAATTTGTCAAGGTATCACTATTTGATTTCACAAGTTGTTTTTTTATTATCTTTCTGAAATACATTTTTTAACCTGCTCATTTCTGTACTTCATTACTCTTCATAAACTTCAATATCTTATTAAAAGTAACAAACAAAAAAAAAACAGCAACAAAAAACACATATTAATATCAAATCATAAGTATAATTATGAGAATTTATAGAGTGACATGAATTACTAAGAGCATCGTTTATTAAGGACAGGTCCTTTTAATATATAAGGAAATATATTAAATTGAAATATATGTGTCTATGTATTCTTGGAATCAATATTTGTTATCGATGATAAATGCATGTGCATTTAATTTCAATTCTTGAATGAACAATAGAACTATAACTGGCAGTAATATTATCTTATCAAACTTATCATTATCCGGAAGTTATTTTTAAGAGCAAATTAACATTTTTTTTGTAATTGAAGATGAATATAAAACATAGAAGGATTGTTGTTAATAGGTACTATTATTCAATTTGTGCTCATGTATATGTAAAACTCATTTTATACCTGACATATATTTTTGATTTTACTATTCATTTACACTCACAACTGAAATTGACATATTAAAACATATATTTTAAGTGTTATCAATATTTTATATATATGCTAATTATATGTACATCAGAACCAATGTGAAACTTGTGATAATATTGTTCTATTTCCCTAGGGTATTTGTTCAGACATGTTCTGTTAATCAGCAGTCAATAAGGTCATACGATTGCAGAAAAAGTTGCCTCTTAGCTTCTTTGACAAATTTTTACACATTCGTGTTGTCACGTCAGAAGAAGAACAGTACTGTACAGAATTTATTTTTGTATATTTAACCTTTGTAATGTAAAACAATATTGATCACCACAATTTGTACATTCGGTATTTTTCTATTTGTGCTTTCTGCTTTTTTACAAAACGTTAGAACTGTGTTCGGAAGAAAATAATTTGACATTTTATACATATTTCGAACCTACACATTATTTTGACATAACTTCATCACAATGCTGGGAACATTGTGTCGAAGCTATTTTTCGTCATATTTTATTATTTAAAGTATAATTCATCAATGATAATAAAGTAAAATTTACCATGAATGATAATCAGAATTGAAATATATTTGAAATATTTTTTTTCATAAATATAATCTGAAAAATCAAGGTCTTTTAGTTCGAGAAACAATATTGCTTATATTTTAATCATATATCAGTTTGCCTTATTATTATTGCAATTATGTTAACCTTAAATTAACAGTGAATGATACAATGTTTAGTCTGCAGATTGTCATTACATATTTTCTTAATGATGATAAAAATAAGCAAAAAAGGACAGATTGTTCTGTCTCATCCAATAATAATGTCTTCAGGGCAAGATTTCATGACTTACGAAATGTATTAGAAACATAAGATATTTCATAATAAAGTATGTGAACATTCTAATCAACTTGTGTCCTTGTTTGTTTTCCCCGAAAAATAAAAGATCTAATTCATAATATACTCTATCTAGCCGTGCCAAAAGTTCCGTACCACAGCCGTATCTCTGCCTGTGATTATTAACCTTAAGTTTCATACATTATGACTGGTTACGCTGTTTAAAACTCTGTATCATTAGGCACCTATACATCGTGAATGGAACGTTGATTTTTAATAAAAAAAACTGTAAATTCTTTATAATTGTTGTGTGAAATAAGCAGGTCATTCTACAAGACTCCTACACAGCAGCAAAACTCATGCTAGATTGTCCAGAGACTTGTCTGTTACATGTTTAATGGTTGTTTATTTGTCAAAAAGAATTTAGTATTGAAATTAAAAATATAAGTATATATACATTTATTATAATTATAACCTCAAAATTCTAAAACGTTGTCTCGGGTCTTACGTGGCCACGTGGTCACTGTATGTTTTTAATCTAGCTTGGGACATTATATTGCTTTTAACTCAAGGATGCTTTCCCGCTAAACAAGAAGAAACGATGGTTCAACAAAATACTTGCATGACACACATTCGCCTTACAATTATTACTTAGTGACATTATGCTCATTTTTATGTTCTCAAATTGAGCTCAGTTTGACTTTACATTTCAAAAGATTGACTATAAAAATGCAGATTGAACAACAATTAATATACCGTTCATGCTAAGTAAATTATAATATAGAAGGGCAACATGTGACATTGCAATCTTTGTTCGACTTTCACCTTTTAACTCAATATACCCTTGGGTGGCCATAATGTCATTTTAAACACCAACCAAGATTTAACGTTGTGCAATAATGTGCATAAGTTTCTTGGATAAATAAAAATTTGAATACAATTGGCCCCTCATGATTGCGCTGTATCGCCGTATCATAAAAGTCCGGAGTGCTCCCTCGGAAACAATAAATGTACAAATTGCAGAATGTGATTGATTGAGTCTGTTTACGGCAGATAATTACGAACCCTTTCTAGTTTCATACATAAGCCAAGAGGTAAATAGTTATATATATTTTCTATACCATATGTTTTTTTATTTAAATTTACGCAAATTATTTATAATAATACTTACAAAAAAATAAATGTCAGAACTCAAAGATTACACCGTTTAGTAAATATTAACATACCTCGTCTTAATTATACCACATTTGGTTATAATTTAACAATGCATTAAACCGAAGCTAAATATTTTCCTTTATGCAAACGACAAATAAATTTAAATGGCAAGTAATTAGAATGATACATATTCAATGTTAATTCAAACCTTCGATGAAGGCAAATAAATCTTTATAATTCAATATAAAATATATGTACGAGTATATTTCATCGTTTTGAATGCAACAGTGTCTAGTAAATTTACTTGATAAATATATAGGTTTAAAAACAATTTAATTGAACAATCATTGAGATATATTGTTATGTCCCTTTCAAGTTCAGACGTTTTGCTGTCTCCTAGATAGTTACTCAGTTATAGTATAAGCCTACAAAAACCGAGCTGTGAAAAACGTTCATTGATATTCCGTTCTTTCTGATCTATACTTTTCTCCGTAAATAGTTTGCTATTTCATTAACCATATCAGAGAATACTTTGTAAAATAGGCTTTTTGATTATCTGACCTATATTGTTTATTTTGTTTTAGAAATAACGATTATGAGGCTCCATATACTGTGAAAAATACTATAAGTCTTTAAATTTACATGTTAATAACAAAGACAATTTATGCATTATAGAATGTTATAGTTACCATCAATATCTAACTGCTGTATTTCACTCATGATTAAACTGAGACCTACTTTACATATGAAAAATCCCAATATTAGATATATTATTGAATGATAGAATAATTTGCACGATCTGTATGTTTTCATATTTATTCTTGTTATATATGTCATGTTCTTTAATATACGGTAATGCTTTTGAATGCTATGGTTATGGTTACCATAAACAATCCTAATGAAATTATTTTCCAGAATTAAAACACTACAAAACGCCAATAAAGTGTCTATTTTATCAATAATTTTCTTTATGTAAAGTTCTTAGTTAAGGTGTAAATAGCTACTAGTATATATCTGCTGATATCTATATCAGAACGAGGACAACAATGCTATCTTCAGCCTTCTTCAAACTTAATACGTCACGCCATCATTTGTTGACATACCTTTGCAAAATAGCTTTTGTTGTCGCAAAACTGTTTATCTTTTAAATGGTTTATCCTTTGTTATATTCCTTTATGGAGTAAGGAAAAACTACGATGTCAAACAATTATATGTTATATGGCTTTGTCATTTCTAAAGATGTTTACGTCTATTCAAATATCATTTTGTTCTCTCTTCCTGATCAGTATCTTAATTCTAAATCATCAAAACAAGAAGGTGTACAAAGTTTTTTTTAAATATTGTTTATTTACAAAAATTCTATCACGCAAACATTATGCTTACATGTATTCGTAAAATTACTTTCAGTAGTTTTCGTATCCTCAAAAAAAAAACAGAGAAAAAACATAAATAAAACAAACATATACATCTTAAGAATCTTATACTAAGATGTAAAATGGCACTATAATAGTAATTCGTAAGCAAATAGTATTCTGTCAAATATAAATAAATATATTTGTTTATTACGCATGGTTTAAATATTATAATAATATATAGTATTAAATGGTGAAACTGTTTATGCGGCGGTAGGAGGCGTATGAAATAAGCTGTATACTATGATTAAGATAATCAATATTTGTCTTTTTAACTGTTTTGAACGCACCTCCGGTGTCTGTTAAAGTGATAATTTTAGTGCTTATGTAATGAGCTAAAAATATTTAATTAAACTTTAAATCAATATTGAAAGGATCAGACTCCAAAATGATAGCATTACATGTTACATTAGATAATCTTTAAGTATAATAGTAGAGCATTAAAAAAATATATATCAAGATCAGGTTTTTTATTATGATTACTGGCAAAATAAAAACAAATGATACAGCATGTGCATCTTTCGTTTGTCGCTTTTATACGTAACTTGTGATAATTTTCACGGGATATTGTTGAATAAGAAAATGAAAGTTTTCGTTAAATAAAACACCATATTCAACCGTCCGCCGTTCAAACACCATTTGTCTGATCATGTTGCAAATTCGTTTTTGTACCACTTCAGAGGGTCTTCTTCGAACAAAATTAAGATCTAAGCCCTAACCCAAACAATTTGTCCAGGAGATTTCCGCGTGGCATGGTCATTTTGTGGACCAGCGATTTGTTCTTTCTGTATATAAAGTGCATAAAAAACACCATATTCTAAAGCCAACCGTTAAGACACCATTTGTCCGATTCCGTTGCAAAATTGTTTTTGTACAACTTCAGAGGTTCTTCTTTGCATGAAATGAGTAGCAAAGCCCTTACCCAAACAATATTTCCAGGAGATTTCCGCGTTGCATGGTCATTTTTTGGTCATGCGATTTGTTCTTTCTGTATATAAAGTGCATAAAAAACACTATATTCTACAGACAACCGTTAAGACACCATTCGACTGATTCCGTTGCAAATTTATTTTGTAAAACTTGGGAGGGTATTCTTTGCACAAAATGAGTACCAAAGCCCTAACGCAAACAATATATGTTATTTGGGAGGGGTGTTGGGGTTTTTCGGCAAATGTATCCTC